TTGCCTTTTTGTTAAGCCGACTATATAATTAAATCACAATACATGAACCAACATAATAGGAGATATGTGGGCGAAGGACTTGCATAAGGTGTGAATAGATATTTCAGTGGAAAATTTATAAACATTTCCAATGAAGTAAAACAATTTCCTAATATAATTCGATAAACATTTTTGCGGATTTTTTTTTTTTCACAGGTAAAGTTTTATTTAAACAATCAATGTAATGTCAGCAAAAAATGACCAACTTTGAAATTTCTAAGTTGCCGACTCTAGCGGAGGTTTCAATGGCACAGGTAAAACTATTAAATAAAACTCAACTCATTTTTATTTATACAGGTAAGTACAAGTATCAGCATTTGTTATTATAACACTGATGAATAAATGTTAAAATACAGATCTGTATTTTACAATCCTGCAGGCATGTTCATGAAACTTTCCTATATAAGATGCGTCCTAAGATTGTTCCTAAGATACATGTATGACTGAAAAAGAAAGTTAGGAACATCCTAAGATCAACTTATATAGGACATATCATAAGATGTAGCTCGACGGTATCTTAGGAACATCTTTAGTTAGGATATCCAAACATACGATGAACACTATTGTTTCTAAATACATATAAACTTTTGGGGGGCATTTGCAGCCAAAAAAACCTTCTATATTACATAACAAAAATTTATCCATTTACATGATGACTTCAGTATAATTTTAATGTTTACATCTTTAAAATTATGAAAGAAATATTTAATACCCCATGTAAGTCATAACGAAACAAGCGATTTTTTTCCTATCAAAGAGAAAGATTTAAGAGGGCTGGGTGGTTGTGGCCATTTTCAGACTATATTGATCTCCTTTAGAAAAAGAGCTCCATATAAAGATATACAAAAATGATCAAATTTTGAAACTAAAATGTATGAAATTTCTGTTTGCCAAATGATAGTCGACAGCTTAAGATATCATATCTAAAAATTTAAGTTATATCTGATGGTTAATTTGTTGACCCCCAGCCTCCTTAATTTCATTTTTATTTTAAAAATGGTGTTTCAGCAATAATATCTACAATATGTTGGATAACTCAAAAGATAAAAAATAATCTTGAATTCAGTAATTTACCACAATGAAAATTATGATATGACGTACAGTATCATGAAAGTCTGAATTATTTTTTGAAAAATAAACTGATAAAAAATATGAAATGAATTTTGCAGGGCTCGGAACCATGTACTATAGTATTCAAACAGGGAAATGTTTCATTATTTTAAAAACCGTGCTTAATCCCCGAGTCTTGGAATTCTCAACAGTATTAATTGATGTAAATCAAAACAATATACCCCGATTTACTTACATCAAGGCGATAGATAAAAATAAAAGAATGATTTTCATTTTTGGTCCCTTACACATAAAACGTGTTTCAAGTCCACCAGAATATTGAAAAAATGATTTATCTGTTGATTACGGTGCTTTTTCGCGATTCATGTATTTATTTAATTGCACGATTTTTTTTAATCGGGAGAGGGATGGGACTGACCCTCATTATTTTTCCGAAAATAGTCTCCTACTGTTTATTTACATGTAATACGAATTTTTTAAAAAGGCTGCCCCCCCCCCCTACTTTCTCTTGCAGTATGGACGGAACCCCATCACCCACCCACCCACACACTCGCACACTTTACATGTAAGAAGGTTTTTGAGTGCGTACAGTTTTTTTTTTTATTTTTTTATGTCCAAGTTTTTCAGGGAATTATATTTTTTGGCTAGTCAATTATATTTTTATACCCCCTCTCCCCAAAAGACAATTATTTTTTCTGCCCCCTTCCCCAATTTGAAAAGGGATCTGACGTGTCTGCATTATGAATAAGAAGAGGAAGTGAAAATTTTCAAGTGCAAAATTCAGGTGCTTTTTGATGAGGTGGAAAAAATAGATTATCGAACATTTTAACTAATGTTGCAAAGAAGAGGGCTTGGGATAACATTTATGAAAAAAATGATTTGTGTAATTCCTAAGCCAGTAAGCCAGGCCCGTAGGAAGCATTTTCATTTTTTTTTTTTTGGGGGGGGGGGGCACATTCATATATTTTCAGTTGGGGGGGCACTATCATCTTCGAAAAATTTCTTGACAAGCAAAACAAAAAGGTCATAAGACGTTTTTATTGAGGGGGCACAAGCATATAGTAGCTATGCTTTCTATAATATTCTATATATCGGCACAATTATTGGAGGGGGGGCACAGCCCCCATGCCCTCCTCCCAGGTTCTTACGGCCATGTCTGCGTATTAGCTGTTGAGGAACGCGAAATTGTCCCTTATACTTGCGATGCTCAAGAAAATAACCATCACCACAAACTTAGGATGATCTTAGGATATGATTTATGTTGTTCTTTATCTTCGCTATAAAGTGGAAATGAAACAACCTCGTTACAAATTTATTCTCAGTAATTGTATTCGGGACGTTAATTAAGACCATAATATTGGTTCCGGCCTACTTTATCTTCGTTATAAAGTGGAAATGAAACACCCTACATGTAGTAACAAATATGTATGAAAATACTCTCATAACTGAAACCCGGAACGTTAATTATAACCATAATATTGGTTCCGGCCTACTTTATCTTCGTTATAATGTTAAATGAAACAGCCTAGTAATAAATATTTTTGAAATTACTGTCAGCAATTGTACCCGGAACGTTAATTATGACCATAATATTGGTTCCGGTCTACTTTATCTTCGTTATAAAGTGGAAATGAAACAACCTCGTTACAAATATTTTGAAATTACTTTCAGTAATTGTAACCCGGAACGTTTATTATGACCATAATATTGGTTCCGGCCTATTTTATCTTCGTTATAATGTTAAACGAAACAGCCTAGGAATAAATATTTTTGAAATTACTGCCAGCAATTGTACCCGGAACGTTAATTATGACCATAATATTGGTTCCGGTCTACTTTATCTTCGTTATAAAATGGAAATGAAACAACCTCGTTACAAATATTTTTGAAATTACTCTCAGTAATTGTAACCCGGAATGTTAGTTATGAACATAATATTGGTTCCGGTGTAAAGACGAAATAATGACCCCCCCCCCCCCTAAAAAAAAAATGACCGGGGGTCATTTTTTGCCGTCGAAAAATGACCCCATGTCATTATTCAACGTCGAAAAATGACCCTTTTGCCCGTAGAAATGGTGTCATCACCCTCAAAATTTACCCTACCTGAAGAAAAATGACCCCCGTAGAATAATGACCCCTTATGGATTAAAGTTGAAATTTTAAGGGGGCAAAAACAAATCAATCAATCAAGAGACCTATTGGCCAAAATGCTCACCTGAGCTTAACTGGGAATAAATTGACGATATGTTGATCTCATTACATTATACAATTATTGCTATTTTAAGGACAATGCGATAATTCAGAATCTAAAGGAGTAAAAGATTTATCGAGCCCAATGGCGAGGTGAATATTGTTTTTCGATGGTGGAAAATCATCATACTGACAGAAAAAAAACAGCAATAATTGTTTTATTATATGATTCAACGAATAAATTGATACAAACTGATTAAGCAGACATGTCAAGTTTCTTGTTTACATGTACATTTGCTCAAGTCCCAGCCCAAACAAAGTGAGAGAATCGGAGTTAACATAAGCATAACCAGTATTTATTTTGCATTTGAAATGTATTTAGGTGCAATGTAGGAAATAAATATCAGGCATAGCATCGAAAAGGGAAATGGGGCATTATTAGAAGGAAAAATGACAAGTTACCTTAGAAATATCTTTGATGAACCCCTCAAAAAGTTTATTGATGTAAGGGGGATTTCCCTTTACTCTACTGTATCAAAAAGTTGAGGGTAGAGCATCCAGACTTGCAAGGAACATTTTCAAGCAAAAAATAAAATAAAATAAAAATTAACGTTCATGAAAATAGAAGGGGGAGGACACCCCATCCCACCCCTGATTCTATGCTCCTGAATGTTATGTGCACTTTGTCCACTCAAGTAGGAGAGATTTTTTTAACCATACTGTATAAAAAAGAGGGGGTGGTTACAAGACTTTCAATGAACATTTTCAAACTAGAAATTGCTAAAATCTACATTCAAAAAAGTGGGGAGGGGGCAATCTCTCCCCCTTCTCATATTCTTTGTGCCTGAATATTATGTTCACTTGAGTGGACTTTTGATTCAGGTGAAATAACTTTTTCAAAATTGTTTTCAGTCTATTTTTAGTTCAATGTAGGAAAAATAAATCCTTATGTTCACCTGGAAGGTCAATAAAATGGTCTTCCTTAACGATAAATTGAAAACATATTATCTACTTCAATATACACAGTATTGAAATGTTTCCATATATTGATTTGACAAATGTATCACTGTTTTCAAATAGAGTAAAAAAAATATTCCTCTTATATGTATGTATCCTATTCTCAGACGACCATGTTAACAGACTTGAATTTACATAATACTGGGATTCATTTTTATTACTTTTACATATTTGAAAAAAAAAATAAAATTGAATGCACATCATACGATTGTATATATATTTCAGACATGCAGAAATTTTATGTCCTTTTTATGTTTGTCACATCTGCTTCACATTTCGACGTTCTAATGACTATAGACGATGAAGTCCAACTAACAACTAAATTGTCTGACAAACAGGATGACTTCAGCCTTTTCCATCATCAACTTTCCTTATTTATGCAGTAATATTTCGCTATTATTTGCATATGATGTTAAGGTTTACCATCTCATTCGAAACCAAAGAGCACGATTAATTTTTTAAAATCGAGGCAGGCTACTGACAGATAAGCTGATGTTACAGGGGTTTCAATAACCTCGCTTAAAGTCAGCATTTCGTAAATTCAATGGTCGTACCAATGCCCCTGTCAACAATTATAACCCTTAATTGGGTCCATTCTTTAGCCTTTGTTTTTACTAAATTCGACAACGGAATGTGCCGTTTACCTGCTTTTTTCATAGGGCTCACGGCGGGTGACATCTTCGCTAGCCAAGGGTTTTCGGTCCACTCCGCTCCCCATAAACGGAGTGGACCGAAAACCCTTGGCTAGCGAAGATGGTCCTTCCCTCTCCCCTAAAAAAATTATTATGCTAATTAGAATTAAGAAGTATATGTATAAACTCCATGACATGCAAGATTCTTAAAATACATGTATATGGTGTTTAATAATTTCAAATGTATTATATGGTATTAATTTGTATATACTTGTTTGCTCTGTCATTAGAAATTTACGATAATCCAAGGTGAGATCATCAACATCATAATAAAAAGTATAGCTGGGACTTTCGATTAAACAGGACCTTAATCAACGTGATACAAGATATATGTAATCAGGAAGGCACAAACTTAATACTTTTGTGAACTAATTCCTAATGTATATGCTAAAATCAACCAGTGCTGTCAGATAAGCATGTTGATGCATGCATGCATGTTTGAAAACTAAAGCAATTGACCTTTTAATCATAACAATGAAGCTATTGAGCTAAATAAAGTTAGTGTCCCAACTGTTTGATTCTGATAGGACTACATGAGGACTGATGGTACATGCTACTAAGACTGTACTTGCCTTTATAGACATGATGTACTAGTTACATTTCCTTCATTATACATGTTATACATGCATTGATATCATTTGTACACTAAACTACACATTATAAAAGAAATAAAAATCATTATGAGATACCAAAGTGTTACTGTATGGGCCTCATCCACAACTAACAACTGTAGCCGCCTCCTATACTCCTCTGACTTGAACATCTCTCTCCACCGCCTCTCACCAATCAGTCTTTCGGGGCTACCAAAAACGAAATCGTATTGCCCCGCCTCTATTTTTTCATTTTCCTCAACGTTTTTCTCAATGTATGTGGCAGCAAGTCCAAAGTTGTTCAATTTCTCAACTTGTTTCCTCATTATTGACAAGAGAGGTGCTACAATGACGACGATACCTGGTTTTATGACAGGAATGCTTTCATATACCAGCGATTTTCCACTCCCGGTGCCGGTCCCAACGAACACATCGCGATTTAATAACACAGCATTAATTGCTTTCTCTTGGTTTTCTCGTAATTTTACTTTAAAAGTGTCGTAAACTCTTTTCCGTGATTCATCAGTCAACATGTTTTCACTTTTGTTGTTTTGCCGTAGCGTGTATGTAACCCATTATTTCATTGGATAAGAAAATGAAGTTTCAAGGGGCGCAACTCTAGTTAGTCGCTAGATAGCGCCACCGCATCACCGTATTTTCGTAATGAAATCTGCCAAGGGTTTATGGGGAGCGGAGTGGACCGAAAACCCTTGGCTAGCGAAGATGGGCGGGTGAGAGGGATGCTTACTCTTTCTAGGCCGCTGATCCCACCTCTGCAATCTTCGGAAGTCCTTTTTATACCCTGTTAACAGAATTGTATTGTTTATGGATATTTAAATCATTACTGTTCGCTATCTCCACCTTTTATTCCATTAGGAAATGCATCCATAGTATGTTGTTCGCACGAGATATTATGTCATTTGCGATACAATTCTACATCATTTCCACGATGCGGGTCAATTCCGAGTTCGTCCAGTGTTGGTCAAAAGGACATAAAAAAATTAAATATTTAGGTTCAAACCTTGGTATCAATCACCTGTCATAATTTTTGCATCACTCTGTTGGAAAAGGGGTCATTTTTCAACGGGGGCAATTTTTCATAGGACACACATACAAAAAAAAATGACCCCTAGGGCTCTTTTTCTACAAAAAATGAATTTTTTCTACGACTGGGGGGTCACTTTTTGTCCTTGAAAAATGACCCCCCGGTCATTATTCGATGGGGATCATTATTCGTCTTTACACCGGCCTACTTTATCTTCGTTATAATGTTAAATGAAACAGCCTAGTAACAAATATTTTTGAAATTACTGCCAACAATTGTAACTCGGAACGTTAATTATGACCATAATATTGGTTCCGGCCTACTTTATCTTAGAAGAAGTTCAATCAAACCTGGAGGAGTCTATTGTGGATCTCCAGTGCAGAAGTATGAGGGATCGATAATTTATTATTCTTTGGGCTAGCGGAATACAGAGGTGAAAATAGAGAAAACTGTCACATATTGATAGATAACTTTTGTGAAACCGAACTGGAAATCCCTGACATTGGTAAAGATATTGAGAGGGCACATAGGATGGGTCAGCGAAGCAATGATATGCCCCGCCCAATAGTTGTGAAGTTCAGTTCCTATAGGATAAGAGAGAAGGTACGCGCCTAAGGGAAAAAGCTGGCGGGAACTTTTTACAGTATCCAAGAGCAGTTCCCAAGAAAGATACAAGAGGAAAGGAAAAAGTTTTAAATACCTGTCATGAAAGAAGCAAGGAGGAGGAAGAAGAAAGCGTATTTGATCAAGGACAAGTTGTATATAGATGGCGAAGAATACCAACCTGATTCCACAAATGAAGCTAGTGACTGCTAGGACAGTTCGGAGAATAACATAAGAAGTGAATCCCTAAATTGCATTTGCTGGAATATAAATGGTGGTTTTTCGTCTAAAGTGGATGTGTTGTGTTTTCAAAAATTTATATTGTCATTTGACTTGATTATATTGACGGAATGTTGGTTAGAAAAAAAATATGATAGGAAGTTTGATGATTTTACAGCTTATTATTTTCCAAGAACTAAAAGCCGGAGCACGCAAGGAGGAGGGACTGTGATTATTATACGAAAAAAATTTCAAAGACATATAACTTTTGAGAAAAATCATCAGGATACAACAATTTGGCTTGAAGTGCGCCATATAGTGTGTAATTTACAAGATGACCTATATATTGGCTGTGTGTATTTACCACCTTGTAACTCTTCTTTCCATCGGCTGTATGACTGCGACATTTTCCAGGAACTCGAAGAACAAGTGGCTTCATTCAGGAGTAAAGGGAAAGTCATGTTGGTTGGCGATCTGAATGCAAGAACCACAAAAAGAGATGATTTTATAGCAGATGACATTTTGAATAATAATATACTCCAGGAAGTGAGTGAATTAATCACAAATGAAAGTGACACGATTTTACCTGCACGTTACAATCCTGATAGTACTGTTAATGACTATGGTTTAAAAGTACTGAACTTGTGTAAATCGAGTGGTCTTCGAATTTTAAATTCACGTCATAAGTTAAGCATGGATAGAGACTTTTCTTATATGGGAGGAAGAGGTTTTAGTGTAGTTGACTACTGTATATCCACACCAGACATCTTTGATATGATATATAAATTTATTGTTGCGAGTTTTACTACATGGTAAGATCATGCCCCGCTACATGTACATCTACAAATTCACACCCGTAATCTAAAGGAAGCCAGGACTACAAATAAGGACAATGATGAAAATACTGAACCATATAGAACTTTTAAGTGGAACAAGGAGTGAGTTGATGATGCCCGAAATGCACTACCAGGGGTGTGCAATTAAAAAATTCAAGTACTAGCCCACGGGCTAGTGGCAGCAATAAAGTTACTAGCCCCAAGTAAAAAGTTACTAGCCCAAATATAGAGGCAAAAATTAAAAACTAATATTGAAAAAAAGTTAATTGTTGAAAAAGTCAGGTTACTATCCAAAGGTAATTCTTTTTAAAATTAAAGTTTAATTCTCACTAGTGAAATTTAATCATATATAAATTAATGATTATGATAGAAAATGAAAAAGAATTTAAATCTTCCCTTTTTCTGATCATTGCACTAGCTCATCTAAAACAAAGCAAAAATCATTTTGTTTTCATCTTAACATACTTAAATCATTAAATACACTGGAAATATATTTTGTTTTAATTGCATAAACTTATCTTTCAGTTGATTGAGTGATTGTAAATAATTTAATGAGATATCTGCATGTATTTACCATAAACAAAGGAATGGAGGAAATTCGGATTAGGAAAAAAACGATCGTTTTTTGAAGTAAATAAGTCAGGTAGTACTGCAAAATGGATAAGATTATGGAGATTTATGGACAATAGGAGCATGCAGCCTGGAAAATTTTCACTGGTTGGGAATTTAAGAGCAAAAAAATGAGTGAAATTACCGGTTGTGCTTTTCATGTATTACATGTGTAGTTTTAATTTCTACTAGCCCAAGGGGCTACCTCCGTGCAGAAAACCACTAGCCCGACCCCCGAAAATGGTAGCCCCGGGCGTCGGGCGATGCTAATTGCACACCCCTGACTACAAACATGCCTCAATGCCCTTCATTCAGCAGCTGAACCACCGGAGGTCGATAACCAGGAATCTATTGACTTGTCTGTTGATTGTTGACATCCCAACTCTCTGACGCAATGGCACCATTTTGTGAATTAAAAAACCGACCCACAAATGACCAGAGAAAACATGTTTACTCAAACAAAACGCCTATTGATAAAACCATGGGTAACACCCGAGTTGAAGAGAAAGTACCGTGTGTACCGAAATGACCTTCGTCTATTCAATAATAGGAAAACGCCTGAGGCGCACCAGAAACTCCTACATTCCAAAAAGGCATACAAGATACTCTCCGCAAAACTGAAGCGACAATATGTACGGCTAGAGGGAAATATGTTGGACTACCTGCGTAAACACAATCCCAAGGCATTCTATCTGTGTTTTCAAAAGAAAAAAGGTTGTCGATCTGGCGTGGATCCTGCAGTTTTTGTTGAGCATTTTAGGGAGCTGGTAACACAGACAGCTCCATCTCCAGACATATTAGATAACAATTTCGCTTTTAATGATCAAACTGTTTTTGATGAGCTTGATAGTGAAATTACTGAAAAGGAAATACTTGATGCTATTAAGAAACTAAAACGTGAAAAGTCACATGGTCCAGATTTATTGTTGAATGAATATTTTATAGAGTTTCAGAATTGTAATATTTTGCCTGTCATACGCAATCTGTTTAATAGAATATTTACAACTGGTATCTTTCCAAATACATGGTCAGAATCTATTATTGTGCCAGTGCATAAGAAAGGAGATCTGTCAGATCCCAATAACTATAGAGGTATTAGTCTAGTGAGTTGCTTTTGTAAGTTATTTACATCTATCTTAAACCAACGACTTATTTTATGGTCGTATAAAGATAAGATAATTACAGATGCACAATTTGGATTTCAGCCCTGTAAGGGTACACCGGAGGCTATTTTTTGTTTGTCGTCAATTATCAATTTGACCCTATTTAACAAAAAAAGATTATATTGCTGTTTTGCAGATTTTAAGAAAGCTTTTGACACCGTTGATCGATTTAAATTGTGGACTAAACTGAGCACGTATGGTATAAGAGGTAAATTATTGAAAATTGTTCAGGCTATGTATGAAAGAATGAAATATAGGGTTAAAACACCAGGTAAATTGTCAGAAATTTTTAAAAGCCACATAGGTCTTTTACAAGGTGAAGTATTATCCCCTATTTTTTTTTTCTTTATATGTGAATGATTTTGAAGTAGAATTTCTGAAGAATGATATTGTTCCTGTACACTTGCGTGAACTTAATCTATTTGTATTAATGTATGCCGATGATATGGTAATCTTTGCTGAGACTGTAAATGAGCTTCAAAAGATGTTAGATATATTATACGAATACACAACTCACTGGGATCGCTCTGTTAATATAAAAAAAACAAAAATTGTAATTTTTAGAAACGATGGTAAAATCAAGTCAACAGAAAAATGGAATATTAACGGGCACCCAATTGAAGTTGTCGATAAGTTTGTTTATCTGGGTCTGTTACTAAATTTCAATGGTAATTACAATAGTACACAAAAGCAACTAGCATACCAAGGAAGGAAGGTCATGTTTGCATTAAAATCAAAAGTAAAAAGTATGTTTCTTAATACAGAAACTCTTTTGTCACTTTTTGACACCTATGTAACAAATATTTTAAACTATGGTTGTGAGGTTTGGGGTAGTCATAATGCTAGTGACGTAGAAAAAGTACAGCTGGAATTTATAGCGAGCGCAGCGAGCGGCGCGAAGCGCCGCTCGTCACTGCGAGCTCTAACGACAACGCCTGGGCGAAGAGAAAATTCGGACTACTGCACATTCATTCAATAGAATTTTTTTCCGCAGTAATTCTGACCCACAATGCATCGCTTCTTGTTCTCGCTGCTAACTTCGTTCACGCGGTGACAAC